ATAAACACATTTCATTACACCAAATACACAAAATAATGTTCTTTTTAGCAACATCACATGACCCCTTTAAAATGGTTGTCGTTTTCATTTAGAAGTGATTCCTGTTAGATTCACCTGTAATCAGAATGTTATTGATTAAAAAAAACGTCTGAACTAAGCAGTGTTATTTTAGTATCACTGAGATACTATTATAGTTTTTATTAATATTTTATAATATTAATAGTTTGAAATTTTCTGTTTTCATTTTAATCTTAAATCACTCAATGGCCTAGGACCTAAATACATAGCAGACATGTTCACTGATTATAAACCTAACAGACCACTCAGATCATTAGGATCGAGTCAGTTAGAAATACCAAGGGTTCACACAAAACAAGGGGAGTCCGCTTTTAGTTATTATGCCGCCCGCAGTTGGAATCAGCTTCCAGAAGAGATCAGATGTGCTAAAACATTAGTCACATTTAAATGCAGACTCAAAACTCATCTGTTTAGCTGTGCATTTATTGAATGAGCACTGTGCAATGTTCGAACTGATTGCACTATATTTTATGTATAATCATTTTCTATTCTTCAACTGTTTTAAATTCATTTTAAACCTTTTAAATAATTTTCAAAATTTTAAATTCCTTGTTTTATTCTTGTGATTATTTTTTTTTATTATTTTTTCATTTATTTTATGTAAAGCACTTTGAATTACCATTGTGTATGAAATGTGCTGTATAAATAAACTTGCCTTGCATTGCCTTGCCTTAAAGGTTTAAGTTAATGTTTTAGTAATGTTGTTTCATGTTTTGTCATTTTTATTATTATTATTATTATTATAATATAGTTTTTACTTATTTTAATTTGAGTTATTTTATTACATTGTTAAACGTAAAGACAATAAGAAATGTTGTTTTGGCTACTAGCCGAAAAAAAAGATTTTAAAAATGTTATGTAATGTTCTGTTAACGTTTTATTATTTATTGTAATTTTGTTGTTGTTGTAATTTTACTCTTAGTTTTAGTTAACTATAATAACCCTGGTTCTAACACATATTATTATCTAACGAGGCACTGCTCTCTAATATACAGCTCTACAAATCACACACTGACTACATGCCTCATTTTATTAGTTTCAGTTTTCTTCCTCATTTATTTATTTTGTTCTCTCTTTTTTGTATCTCTAAATATCTCTTTTGTCTTTGTGTACAGTCTGTTCGAGTGCAAAAGAAGCTCAGTTTTAAGTCTGGATGGCTGGTTATAAATTAATAATTAGAATGGACATTAAGGGGGGGATGGGGTGACATTTTTGGATCAGACACAACCATGAATGCCAGCAAACCCCATCACCCTTTCTGGTAACACACACAATATTCTGTCTCTTCCTCTCTGAGAGATGTCTCGATATTCAGAGACCTCAGGGATCTCATTCTTCTCCTCCTCCCACTGCCCATCTCCTTCCCAACACTCAGACTTTAAAAGAAACGTCGATGTTTGAGGGGTCACAGGGGAGCTGGAACATATTAAACCCTCCTCATTGGCTCTCCAGTTATCGATCACAGATGGGCTGAATGTTTTAAATAGACGAGGACATCGTTAGAACATGTAATGTGGCCCTAATCTTTATTTTGCATAAGGACAGGGCGTTTAAAGATAAAAATCTCTTCTCTTATGTCCATCAAATACATAGCCTAACATCAGAGTCGTGCTGAGCTCTGCTATCGGTTTCATTTATTGAGACAAGAGACGGTGCCACCAGACCAGACACTGGATTTTTCTATTCCAGAGAGAAGAACAAAAGAAAGAGATGAGAGGAGCAGAGGGAGGAGTAAAGTGATACAGTTTGATGTCTCTCCCTTTCATGGGAGAGAAAGCTGGGTCATCCCTCTAACTACAGGTTAAAAGAAGACCATTATAGAGGACAGCACTCGAAGGCAAACATGCTCTCGCTCAGCCTCTCTCCAGCTGCTAGCTGCTACAGCTGAAAGCTTGATAAGATCTGGAGATGATGCAGAGATTAAGCTTAACGCTTGATGTTACCCTCTTCCACGGTGGAGTCCAGTTGGGTCACTTTGATAGCCAGCAGGTCCACTCTCTCTTGCAGGTTATTCATACGCATGTAGAAACGGTTGGCTTCATTAAACAGCTCTCCAAAGATGTCCTCTGCGTGACGACCTGCAAGACAGATGGCGACAGAAGCTAAGAGAATGGCAAACTGAAAAGATCAATTGAATTTCCATGCTAGGTTGGGTGCTGGTCTAGCTAGTGGACTAGCACAGTGGTTCTATTCATCACCAAATCTTTAACTAGTTAAAGACCTTGTTTGGGAAATAATTTGCTTGTGTCAACGTTAGCTATGTTTCCATCCACCTATTTTTATGCGCATTTTGGATTATCGCATAAAAAAAATGCTGGATGGAAATGGCAAGATGTGCATAAATTCTAAAAATGCGCATACGTTTTTTTATGCGCATTTTTAGAATTTATTCTATTTATTATTATAATTATTTCCCAACCAAGGTCTTTAACTAGTTAACGGAGTAGGATAAACTTTTTATCCGATAAGAAAAAATGCATTTTAAAATTTATTACATATGAAAATTATTATATTCAGTGGCTTCTCCTAGTCTTCTTAGAGATATTTAGTGCCAGTTTATCAGGAAGTGACAATTTTGTTCTCTTTGACTCGTTGGATGGAAACGGTGCTTTATTCGCAAATATTATATGCGATATTCCAGTTTTGCGCATAAGTTAAATTTGCATCTTTGGATGGAAACATAGCTACTGTCTCTATTTAATCATATATTAAAACATTTTTGCAAGAAAATATCTGCAGGTACATTTTTGTTGCATATTGTTATATTGGTACATATAATATGCAACTCTTCCTTGTGTTCCTGAAATTTGCACATGACACTACCATCATCGGCCTTACACACAACGGAAACGAGTCTGCTTACAGACAGGAGGTTAAAGAGCTGTCTGGCTGTCTGGTGCAGTCACAACAACCTGGAGCTGAACACGCTCACCACCCACTCACCATCATGGACAGCACTGTGCCTGCAGTAGATTCATTCAAGTTCCTGGGCACCACCATCTCTCAGGACCTGAAGTGAGACATTCACAATGACTCTGTTGTAAAAAAAAGGCCCAGCAGAGGTTGTACTTCCTTCGCCAGCTGAGGAAGTTCAACCTGCCACAGGAGCTGCTGAAACTGTTCTACTCGGCTGTCATTGAGTCTGTCCTGTGTTCATCTATAACTGTTTGGTTTGGTTCAGCTACCAAATCAGACATCAAGAGACTACAACGGACAGTCAGGACTGCTGAGAGGATTACTGGTTCCCCCCTGCCCAACCTCCAAGATCTTTACATCCAGAGTAGGGCTGGACGATATGGCCAAAATTTATATCACAATATATTTCTTAATTTCTGTTGAT